AAATAATGGGGGAAATAAATGAATTAACATTTATTATTTACTGAAAAACAAATCCAATTTCAATTGCACAGTAGTATTAGATTTCTTTCTCTCCTTAGATTAAGATTTCTTCCCTTTTTGTCCATAATTATGACAGTAATTTATCAAGGAAAATTATGTAGTTTGATAAAAATGAGCAGTAGATATGGCAGTGATCTTGACCAGTTGAAGGCTAACGAGTAACTAGAGCACCGGCATGGCACACTTACCGGCAAACCATTACTGAACTTACCGGCGAACCATTACCGAACTCGACCATTCGAGTTATGAATGAGACAAGGCGCAGTTAAACCGACTCTAGTCAGCATGAGTGCCTACGGAACGGGACCTTATTTAAAGAATTATTAGCTTAAATTCATAAAGTAACAACATTTGGCAAATTTTTCCAAAAGTCCTAACAAAAGTAACAACATAAGATCTAATAAGCAAAAAGTAACACTTTTGTTACGAACGTAACACCTCTGGCTAGAGGTGGGAAAATGATGTGTTGTGAAAAAAAGTTGCGCTAATCAAAACTGGCACCGCGTAGATTAAGGGTAGGTCACAAATTTTTTTTCCGCGTTAATCAAAACCGCGGTAGGCTCCAGTTAAGAAAAAAATTGATTAAAAACAAAGAATATTGATTACATTTACCTCACTGAGCGAAAAAAAGTTCACTTTTCGTCACACAAATTACAAGCCGTCCTGTAAGCTTACAGATACAGAAAAAATGCTATAAGGCTGCTGATATGAAGTTTGCAGTGAACAAGGTTGTTGTAAATGCTCAATGGTATGTTCATGGATATGGTAATATGGCATCAATAATACAGTAATATACCATCAATAATACAGTACAGTCAACTGGGGGATTCAGCCATGTTCATAATGATGGCCAAAGCTGGGTCATAAAGGATGGCCAAAGCCACTCTGGCATTTATGACCTCGTTTACAACCCTGGCGTTTATGACCCTGGCATTTACGACCCCGTTTTTGTTTGCAAAACAAAATCAAAAACCTGGCCAAAGTCACCCCATTTGAGGGTAATTAATGTTTATGGTAATATCATATCAATAAAGAAAAAACGAATATAAATCACAGAAAATGTCATTTATTCTACCTCTACATCATCTACAATAAAAGAGGACTTCAGTTCAGAGTACTGTTAGTAATGGATGAGTATGGTACACTCTGCATTCTTCAAATATTTTAAAATAAAGTTTTATTCCAAGTGTCCCGAGTAGCCCCGTTTGACTGGGCTACTCAGGACACTCTTTATTTAGCTTCTGGCACCTTACGAATAGCATATGGAATTTTTTTGACAATGCCATTTGATAGCCCTCACAAAGAGCTATAAAATGAGCCTAAACTTGTTTATGAAATGTTTCATCGTAAGAAGTTATTAACAGTTATTAACAAAAGAATACTCAAAACTGTCCCGAGTAGCCCCGGTTGACGGTATGCAGATGCACATTGTGCACAACAATATTGATAAAACGGGGATGATCACATATGAACAGGGAGCTTATCTTTATATCGAAAGAAAGAACCAATTTTGAAATGATTTACCAGGACAATATGAAGATTGACATTTGGGAAGTACCATCTATTGAACAAGACTAAATTCTCTTGACATAGCTTCAGACGCAAGGCCAAAGTATGGAAATGAACAATAAATAATCTTCCTACTATTACACTTGGGTGCAAGCCCACTGTATCCCTTCAACTTGAATTTTGTGTTTTGGGTAATTGCCAAACAAATCCATTAAGCAAGAAAATATTGGGTACAAAATAGGAAACAACGTTTAATAGGAGCATAAGGGCAGAAGTTGTTGTACCAGACAGTTGCTGTCATACCCCCCTCATTTGGCTGTGTGTTTTAAAGCCAAGCAGTGTGTTATCCCTGTTTCTCACAGTGACTTTAGGGTGTTAGCTTCCACCTCCTTTACTTCAGGTTTGAGTATTTTAGAATCCTTGTACATTTTTAAATTTAAGCCCAGTTTGAATTTGAATATCCACTTGGAATTGTGAGGAGATAGTTTTTTCTGTTTTGTCTGTTATTTGTAAATATAGGTTTTTAATTTCGTTTTATGCTTTCAATTGTATTTGTCACCCGCCAAAGCTGCTACAAGCTAACTAACATTAGTTGAACCTACAGTTTGCTACTTTCAGGAGCAAACTTTTGCTGCTCCAGGCCAGGACAATATATAAATGAATTTCAGACAACTGTGCTTCACTTAAATTCTACCTACAATGCCGTGTCTAACTCTCCTAGTCAGCGTCCGTTGAATGCCGGTTCAGTGGCGATGGATTAAAATCACAAGAAATCACAGTTAAAATAGTTTATTAACTAAAATTTTGTTAGTATTGTAACCACACAAACCAGATAAAATAGTTTATTGGATATCACTTTGTTAAAGTCGTAATTTTGCAAAAATGTAATATTTTATTATGCTCAGATTGCAATTAAAAGCACTTTACTATACAAAATGATCAGCTGTCTGTATTGCACTGTATTAAAGCACATAAATCAGGAAAAGCATTAATTGACATGGAGAAACGACAGCAGGAAACACTGGTTGTAGTCAGCACAACTCAACTAGTTAGCAAAAACTAGTCACAGACATCAGCTACTGGCTATTCTGCCTTTGTAGCACTGGGCTGACTGCTCATGGTCATGGTCAGCTAACAACTGACCAACAAGACTCAAGAGAATGCTGATCTCGGTTAACTGCGTAATGTTCAGTAATGCAGTTTCCTCTGTTGTGTGTATGAAATGATTATGTGACTAATGCTGTTTCTTATATTTTGTGAACGATAACAAGGGTTTAGCAGATAGCACATTAAAAACTTAACATGTGAGTAATTAAAAGCAAGTATTTTTGGGAATTACAGTTTTCTGTTGTTCACATATTAATTTGTGAATTTTTATATTTATTCTAGATTGTATGAACTGACGATGGAGCTGGACTCTGAATAATTTTCTATAAAGATATGAATTTTTGTAGGCTATTCTTTGCTTTTAAATTTTTAGTTAACACGAGTTTTTAGTTGCCTTGCCCTATGAATGAGATGATAAGCTCCATTACTTACATAGGATACTTGAACAAATTTTTTTAACACGTTGGCCGCGATTGCTGATTTGGCCCGAATGCCGTACGGGCGATAGGTTCAAACTTGTATATCTTCAGTTACCCGGCAGATAGCAAGGAGAAAAGTTGTGTGCAGCTTTGCAGGGGCATGTTCTGTCATTGTGTCACGTAAAATTGGTGACCGTATTTGGTGCACATCGCTCAGGGTAGAAATTCATCATTATTCCTGGCGATGTGTACCAAATGAAGCCATGCCTGTTGTGGCTCATATTGGCTCACGCCGCCTATTGTAATCACTTCTAATACTGTGAGTGATATGTACCAAGCAAAGACATGCAACTATGGCTCATATTGCCAAAAAACACCTAAAGTTATCACTTTTATTACTGTGAGTGATGCGCGCAAGTAACCTACATTAGTTTTGAGTCATAATTGCACACATAATGACTACCGGTATCTCTTAGCTTTTTGTGAACGATGTATATTATGCATGAAAATTACTATGGGAAGAGATTGGTGTCCAGTTTTTCATAATTCTAAATAAAATTGAGGGTATTTACATTGTTAGTTCAGTTATATTTACCATATAAAGATCGTTCATTGTATATATTGTCTTGAGCTTCTGTTACAAGCAGCATCTCAGAGAGAGTAAAATCAGGATGTAGATATCAAATTATCAAGTGGGAAAGAGGACAGCCCACTTTCATTGAACCAACTAGAACTAAAACCAGGATGCGCTGCCATGAATGCTACAACATGCTCTCAGCAAATGAGGGAATTGCTGTAGCAAAGGTGAAACTCAAAGGGTAAAAAAATATTTTGATGACTGTGAATGAAAACTATACATGTGAGATAATTGTTCTTCAATCACGTATGCAAGATAATGATGTTGGCAACACCCAATGCTGTAGTTTCAGATCAATAAAAAAATATTTTATTTTGTTTTCATGCAAAGATAGATATATATATTGCTTTCATCAATGGACACAAATTTTGTATTTTTCGTATTTCTTGCATCTGAAAATAAGACTATTTCTTTAAGCAGTAGGTAGTTGATTTCAGAGCATTCCCTAACATGCCTATTGAATTGTGTCATTGAAATTTTAAATTTGAAAGAGTAATAAGATTTTCTAAAAATATGTATTTTTCATAGGCATGTACCACATGTGTACACATCGCGATTCTGACAAGTACAGCGTGTACATATATGGCGCACATCACGGGCAACGTGTTAATAGATCTAGAAAATTGTAATGAACTGAGTATAAAAACTTGATATGTCACCACCTTTGTCACTTTGTCACCATATTTCCACTGTCAGGATTTCTCACTGGCATTGTAATTGTATTAACTTGAACCAGCCATTGTTTAAGTTCAGTAGGTATTTAGACTAGTCTAAATCTGGGTCACTGAGACTGTGCAGTAGACTCTGATTTAGATAGGTCACCTTCAGTTAGAGCACTACTAAGTACTAACATTTTATGCTACCACTTTGTCCAGTCAGCTTATCTGTGGGGACCAACTCAATTGTCTAAATTAATCTTTGGAGATCAAGGTTCTTAATGTTCCTAGTATACTCGACTTGAAGTCTCAGGCAGGATACCGTAATGACACATATGCTTACTAAGACCTAGTTATCTAATGACATAAAGCACAAGTAAACAGACATTGTTAGGTTGATGAGCATCATGGATACAAGTGAAATTATTACATGTTGGAGGCATGGTTCTCATTTGAGATTACTATGAGAGGAATGATACAACTGCTTGGCAGTGCACTGACCAAAGCTAGTAAAATCTCACTACTGTGTTGTGGCTGACAATTTATAATCTATTTTAATTTATTATTTACAATAATTTCTCTGTATTAATTTCTGTATATCTTTTAGGCGCCGGCTCCTGGCCCTGGTCAACTTGGATGAACCACTCCAAGTTGTACGCAAAACCACCCGTGGCTGCCACTCCAACTCAAGTAGCAAGTTTGATGTTAAAGTCCTTGAGTGGAGTCCAACTCATGAGCTTCAGCATTACATAGCCTTGGCAGTAAGTATCTTTGAACATTATTGCTCGTACAAACAGTATTAATCTCAATACATAAGTGCTTTAGCTGTAAGATGTTTCCAAAATATTACTCTAGCAGTATCTAAATATATTGATTAAAGTGTGAGTATCTTTGCACAATATTGCTCTGGCAGCAAATATTACTACTACATATTATTGTTCTTGCTGTAAGTTTCTTTGCATAATATTTGAGTAGAGCAGTGAATATATTCTAGGTATATACTTTGCTTAATATGCCTATAAGAATCTTGGTTTTTCAACATGTGTAATAATTTTTAAATTTCCATCTGGTAACTATAATCTCATCATGTTGTTTTAGCCTTAAATAACAGGAAATGTCTGCTTGGTTAATGATTCTAGCATTTAATAATAATCAGATTTTGTAGTTCTAGTTATCCTCAGATTGTGTACTAGTTCTAAATATTTTTTTTTACTTCATTTTTCTAGCCCATTTGATTTAGTCTATAGATTTGTTTATACTCCTATAAATAAACTTTATATATGAAGATGTAAAGATTACACTATTCTAATTATTTACCCTTGCTGATAACCCTGTGGTTTTCAGGCTGGCAATGACTGTGAGGTGCACACACTACACGAAGGCGGCAGGATGTTGTCCCACTGTGTGCTCCATGCGCACACGCGTGCCATCAGCGACGTCAGCTGGCACCATATGGATGCCCATATGCTGGCCACGGCTTCTGTTGAGAACTGCCTCTACTTGTGGGACGTCCGGGAGCCTAGGAGACCAATGAGCTCCCTACCTGCCACATGTAAACCATCCTCCTAGTTTGAATATGACTGTGCACAATTCAACCAATAATGCTGATATTATTTAATTATGCTAGTATTGTTAAATAATGATTGTAAAATTTTGAATGATGCTCTTGGCTGTGAAGTAGTTCCTTAAATGCCACATGTTGCATATAGTACTATGTTTTAAATATGATATTGTATATATTTTATACAAAATACAATACAAAATCAATTACCAGTAATAATGATAATACTATCTGATTATTCTATTGCTATTAGATTATGATAAAGTTTTTGAATTATAACTTTGATTGTGAAGATAGATGCGATTGTTATGGCATTTATCAAATTCATTGATTCATGCCTATTTTCTGAGTTGAATTGTTTTCTTGTTCTAGAATCTTTAATTTTGAGTAGGTAAGTGGCAATTTTTTCACATTGCTCATATATCATAGCATTTGACGTTAGTTTAAAAATGTTTGAATTATCAATATTGTTGTACTGTTTTTGTGATATTTTAGGTTCCAACTTTTTTATTGATATATCGATTTTTTTTGGTGTAATAACTTTGCTAATTATATTACATTGCACAATAATTCTTGAACTTTCATACAAGTTGCACACTTTCCTGGACTTATGGATGAAAATAATGGTTAAATACTACAGTGTCCTGTGATCTGTGAATAATTATGTTCAACAAGTGTCTAATCCAGAAGTCATAACTCTAACTCTGTCAGCCAATCAATGATGGCTTTTCAAGCAAAATGAGCCAATTACAGATGATAAATCTGCTGCTCGTGTGCTTAGGATGCTACATGTACTTGGAACGCTACAGGCATATAGGTCAATACTTGTACATTAGACACTGTATGTAAACTTAAAGCAAGTATTATACATATATGCAAGCAAGTATATATATGCAAGCAAGTATTAAAAGTACAGTCCCATAACATCATGTAAAAGTAATGTCCCTGCAGCGGGTGCATCGCAAGTCAAGTGGAACAAGAAAGACTCTCACCTGCTGGCGTCTGGCCACGACACCGACATGAGAATATGGGACAGCCGCAAGCCTGACCGACCCATGCTGTACCTCGCTGGCCATATGGACAAAGTCAACAGCATTGACTGGTCACCTCATGATCAGGCTGAGATCGTGTCAGCTTCGCTGGTGAGCTATAACTGCACGTAATAGCATTATTATGGTTACACATGGAGCTAATTCTTCTGCTTGTGTGTTTGAAATTAATGGATGATCCATAATAGATCGTTCAGTACTGTTTATGTGTATTATTTATTGAGGATTGCAGGCATTTTTGGGGAAAGCTTGAAATCTGCATTATGTTTGAGCAGCCATTCTCCCCAGCTAATTGCTCTCAGTTGTAAAGTAAGTGTATGTAATTTTTGACCTTGCAGGACTGCAGTGTGCGGTTCTTCGACATCACCAGCCCTCGTCGCCCCCACACCACCATCACCACCACGCATCCCGTATGGCGGGCCAAGTATACGGTGAGTCTCAGGTTGCCAGTCATGTCCAGTTGCCAGACATGTCGAGTTGCCAGCCATATCTAGTACCCACACAAGTCTAGGTGCCAGCCATGTCCAATTGCCAGCCATGTCCAATTGCCAGCCATGTCCAATTGCCAGCCATGTCCAATTGCCAGCCATGTCCAGTTGCCAGCCATGTCCAGTTGCCAGCCATGTCCAGTTGCCAGCTATGTCCAGTTGCCAGCCATGTCCAGTTGCCAGCCATGTCCAGTTACCAGCCATATCTAGTTGCCAGTCAAGTCCATTTGCCAGCCATATCCGGTTGCCAGTCATATCCAGTTACCCGCCATGTCCAGTTGCCAGTCATGTCTACTTGCCAGTCATGTCTACTTGCCAGTCATGTCTAGTTGCCTGCCATGTGCAGTTGCCACCTGAGTGTGGGAACTAACTTTTACCGCCTCAAGCTTAATACAGGTACTAGTTGATTATAGCTGCAGCTGCTAATTGGGTACAGCTGGTAGCAAGGTTCTGTTAGTAACTAAATGCATTTGCCATCCCTTTATAGGCTAGTTAGTTCTGAACGTTTAAAATACAATGAGGCACACTGTGCTTATTTCTGACTACTTGAGAGATGCTAGACAAAGCTAATATGATGCTAGGCATCGCAGCTATACTAGACATGCTAGGCATTGCAGCTATACTAGATGTGTTAGACATTGCAGCTATACTAGATGTGTTAGACATTGCAGCTATACTAGATGTGTTAGACATTGCAGCTATAATAGACATGTTAGACATTGCAGCTATAATAGACATGCTAGGCATCGCAGCTATACTAGACATGCTAGGCATTGCAGCTATACTAGACATGCTGGACATTGTAGCTATACTAGACATGCTGGACATTGTAGCTATACTAGACATGCTGTGTGATTCCAGGAGCCGCGTGTGTGCTGTGTGATTTCAGGAGCCGCGTGTGTGCTGTGTGATTCCAGCAGCCTTGTTATTCAAGGAGCAATCTGTGCGATGTGTGATTTCAGTTGCCTTGTGTGTGCTGAGTGATTCATGGAGCCTTGTGTGTATTGTGTGATTCCAGGAGCCGCGCGTGTGTGCTGAGTGATTCATGGAGCCTTGTGTGTGCTGTGTGATTCCAGGAGCCTTGTGTGTGCTGAGTGATTCATGGAGCCTTGTGTGTGCTGTGTGATTCCAGGAGCCTTGTGTGTGCTGAGTGATTCATGGAGCCGCGTGTGTGCTGTGTGATTCCAGGAGCCTTGTGTGTGCTGTGTTATTCAAGGAGCCTTGTGTGTGCTGTGTGATTCCAGGAGCCGCGTGTGTGCTGTGTAATTCCAGGAGCCGCGTGTGTGCTGTGTAATTCCAGGAGAGGAGCCTTGTGTGTGCTGTGTGATTCAAGGAGCCTTGTGTGTTCTGTGTGATTCAAGGAGCCTTGTGTGTTCTGTGTGATTCAAGGAGCCTTGTGTGTGCTGTGTGATGCCAGGAGCCTTGTGTGTGCTGTGTTATTCAAGGAGCCGCGTGTGTGCTGTGTGATTCCAGGAGCCGCGTGTGTGCTGTGTTATTCCAGGAGCCTTGTGTGTGCTGTGTGATTCCAGGAGCCGCGTGTGTGCTGTGTGATNCATAGCAGCTATGCTAGACATGGTAGACATCACAGAAATGCTAGACATAGCAGCTATGCTAGACATGGTAGACATCACAGAAATGCTAGACATAGCAGCTAAGCTAGACATGGTAGACATCACAGAAATGCTAGACATAGCAGTTATGCTAGACATGGTAGACATTACAGAAATGCCAGACATAGCAGCTATACTAGACATGTTAGACACAACAGACATGGTAGACATTACAGAAATGCTAGACATTGCAGCTATACTAGACATGCTAGGCATTGCAGCTATACTAGACATGCTAGGCATTGCAGCTATACTAGACATGCTAGGCATTGCAGCTATACTAGACATGCTGGACATTGCAGCTATACTAGACATGCTAGGCATTGCAGCTATACTAGACATGCTAGGCATTGCAGCTATACTAGACATGCTAGACATTGCAGCTATACTAGACATGCTAGACACAGCAGACACGGTAGACATCACAGAAATGCCAGACATACATATTGTTTCTTTTGCAGCCGTTCGGCCGGGGCGTGGTGAGTCAGCTAGTGCCGCGGCTGGTGCGGGGAGACAACGGCCTGCTGCTGTGGGCGCAGCACCAGACGCACGCGCCGCTCCACTGCTTCGTCGGCCACACCGACGCCGTCATCAACTTCCAGTGGCGGCGACAGCGCCAGCAGGTGTGTTGTGTGGGCCTGTGTGTGCGCTGTGTGATTCCAGGAGCCGCGTGTGTGCTGTGTGATTCCAGGAGCCGCGTGTGTGCTGTGTGATTCAAGGGTCCTTGTGATTCAAGGAGCCATCTGTGCGATGTGTGATTCCAGGAGCCTTGTGTGTGCTGTGCGATTCCAGCAGCCGCATGTGTGCTGTGTGATTCCAGGAGAGGAGCCTTGTGTGTGCTGTGTGATTCCAGCAGCCGCATGTGTGCTGTGTAATTCCAGGAGAGGAGCCTTGGCTGTGCGATTCCAGCAGCCGCATGTGTGCTGTGTAATTCCAGGAGAGGAGCCTTGTGTGTGCTGTGTGATTCAAGGAGCCTTGTGTGTGCTGTGTGATTCAAGGAGCCTTGTGTGTGCTGAGTGATTCATGGAGCCTTGTGTGTGCTGTGTGATTCATGGAGCCTTGTGTGTGCTGAGTGATTCATGGAGCCTTGTGTGTATTGTGTGATTCCAGGAGCCGCGCGTGTGTGCTGTGTGATTCAAGGAGCCTTGTGTGTGCTGAGTGATTCAAGGAGCCTTGTGTGTTCCGTGTATCGAGACATTTTCCATATTTTTTTCAACTTGTATGTGTTGTGTGTTCTGTCTGTGGTGTCATGTTCTGGGGCGATGTGTACAACATGAGTGTCGGTGTATTTGAATGCATATGTTGAGTCTCCTTTCTGTCAAAGTACTTGTTTTTTAGCATTTTATCCATTTATGTGACTTATGTCAAGACTGCCTATGTTTTTTTTTCATGTAGTAGGTGTGAGTTGACCAGATGTGTGATGTGACAAAATATAGAACGCAAATAATTAATACTTCTTATACTCGCAAAGTGACAGAAACTGTGCTTGGATTGATATCTTATCCTAAGTATTTGAAACCTAAATGTAGATAGGTTTTATTGGCTAAACCATTTTGTCATTCTGCTACCTGATCACAACTGATGTGACCAATAATTTGCTTTCACCTTATTCTAAGTGTAAGTTGCATCCACACTCCACAGAGTTGTCATTTTTTTGTCAATGCGAAAATGTTTAATCAAATCTTAATTTTAGATTTACTTCTATCTAGTTGCTTATTAATCCTAAATCTACTTGTAAGTGTATGAAGTTGCTTATTAATCCTAAATCTACGGCTAAGTGTAAGCAGTTGATTATTAATCCTAAATCTACTTGTATGTATTTGTAGCTGATTAATAATCTTAAATCTTAATTAATTAGAATAAGAACTTAGAATTAATCATAATTGAAACTACTAAGTGTGAGTAGTTCTTAAGGAATCCTAACCTGAACTTTTTTGACAGGACGGCAGCGAGTGTCAGCTCGTATCCTGGGGCAGGGACCGCGCTCTCAGGATCTGGAGGCTTGATGCTGACATGCAGAGCGTGAGTCTTGGTGTATTATGACGGTATCGTGCTGGTGTAGCATGATGTTGGCCATTCTGGTGTGTGGCATAATGGTGATATGCTGACGTGCAGAGCGTGAGTCATGCTGGTGTGGCATGCTGCAGTGGCATGATGGTATAGCATGCTTAGCTATTCGCTAAAAATATGTAATCTAATCGGAAAGAAATCAGAGTAGTAAAGTGGGCGCCGTAAGTGTACAGCATGAGTGATGGTCTGATGAATAATAATAATAATAATCTTAATAATAATGATAATAATTAATAATAATAATATATTAGCTATGAGCAAAACTGACCTGCTCTCCCCAGCAGTTGTGCGGTGAGGCGTCTGACGGCGGCGCTGACGAGGCAGTGGATGCTGACGACGAGGAACTGCAGACTCTTAACCTGCTGGCGAAAGGTCTCTAGTAACCTAGTGGCTAATCTTAGTGCCACTAGTGGCATGTGGCTGATAACACTAGTGGCGTGTGGCTGGTGTGGAGGCTTTGACCACCTAAAATTTTTTAAAATTGTTTTTAGAAGTCAAAAGGGTCTGTGTCAAAATTTATGCAAGTTTGTGCCAGCTCCGTAATTTCAGCTAATATTACCCCAGTTTACAACTGCATGCCACATTTACTAGAGCATATTGAACATAAATGGTACCTAGTTTATATCAGAATTGAGGCATTCTCTTATAAGTAAATATATACTTGTACATTTTATATTATAGGCGGATTTTATATTTTTATGTATATTTTTTATGTATTATATATAAATATTTGCATAAATATAAATGTTTATATTCATAAACGTATATTTGAGCCATTCGCTTGTATGCAGACGGTGAAACTCCTGACGATGCTGGTGCTGGCACACTGATGCCAGCTTCCAGCATCAAGCAGGAGCAAGAGGATGACGAAGCTGTCAGTGACGGAGCTGTCACTAGGGGAGAGGAGGAGCTGCTGGCAGAGGGCGCTGTCATCAAGACGGAACCTTCATTGGAACTTCTCTACCTGGAGCCGCGAGTTCAGGGCAATGCCAGGAGTGCGTTTGGCAGCACATCTGCCCTCCTGTCAGCCGGCAACTCTGTCACCACTCAAGGTTTGTCATTGCATTGCCAGGAGTGCGTTTGACAGTACATCTGCCCTCCTGTCAGCTGGCAACTCTGTCACCACTCAAGGTTTGTCATTGCATTGCCAGGAGTGCGTTTGGCAGTACATCTGCCCTTGCCAGGAGTGCGTTTGGCAGCACATCTGCGCTCCTGTCAGCCGGCAACTCTGTCACCACTCAAGGTTTGTCATTGCATTGCCAGGAGTGCGTTTGACAGCACTTATGCCCTATCAGCTGGCAACTCTGAATTTTTTTTCATTTTTTGTAAAAAAAAACTATATGTTGAAATTTTTTCTGATGCTAGAAATTTCCATGTTGTCAGTTCCCTCTGCAGTAGTAATAAACTATTAGTTGAAATTATAAGTTCTTTCTGATGTTAGAATTCTCCATGTTGTCGTCGCTCTGCAGTAGTTCCTCTGGCTACCCCACTAATGTCTCATGTGCATCAATTGACCAACAAAAAAAAAAAAATGACCAACACATTTATTGCAGTGGCGCTGCTGGGGTCCAGGTCGCCCCCGCTGAGTTCGTCGGTGCCCCACGAGTCGTCGTTTTCGCTGCCGTCGAGCGACGCGCCCTCGCAGCGCGTAGCTCTCAGGGACGAACTCGCCGCCCTGCAGTCCCAGCCCTGGGGCACCAATCCTGCCGTCGACGTCAACATCACTGTGAGTGTTATAGGGGGTTGCCTTTGCGGTTACTCTTGTCATTTGGGGAGCTTTGCTTATCCTTTAGGGTTATATTTGTCCTTTGGGGTTACGATTGTCCTTGGGGACTATGTGTGTCTTTAGGGTTTCACTTGTCCTTAAGGGTTACACTTGTCATTTGGGGTTATGCTTGTCCTTTTGGGGGTTATGCTTGCCCTTTAGGTTTACACTTGTATTTGGGGTTATGCTTGCCCTTTAGGTTTACACTTGTATTTGGGGTTATGCTTGTCCTAGAGGGCTATGCGTGTCCTTAGGGATTATACGTGTCCTTGGGGTTGCGTGTGTCCTTGGGGGTGTTGTGCTTATCAGTTTCCCTCTTGAAACGAAATTGTCATGTGGATAGTAAAAAAAAATTACATGCCACACGGCAGTTGTCTTGCGGCGGTTGAGACTAAAAAAATCACCTAATGGCAGTTGTATTGCATTAATGCTGCGCAATACACAGCATATACGGTGAACCAACACAGCCTCTCTACGCCGATGCATAGTTGCCCGCAGTTTGTTCGTGATCTTAATTGCATCGTAGTTACCTTGGCAAACAAAAATTCTGAGCTTCTATTTTGAGCTTCTATTTACAGCTTATAAGTTCACTGTCGTGAAGTTTCTTGCAACAACGATGTAGGGGCGCGCTCTGGGGGCATCACAGGTGGTAATAAGGGGGAGGGGAAGACGGGTGAAAGGAAAGCGGGTATTGGCTTTACTGGGGACAGTGAGGTTGCCTGGGTGAAGGGAAAGGGAAACTGGTTGAAGGGAATCGCGAAGGGAAAGCAGTTATTGGCTTTACTGGGGACTGTGAGGTCGCCTGGCTGAAGGGAAAGGGAAAGCGGTTGAAGGGAATCATGAAGGGAAAACAGTTATTGGCTGGACTGGGACGGCGAGTTCGCTTTCTACGCGCCCCGCAGGTTTTCAGGGGGCATGAGCATGGAAGGAGAAGGAAATTTTCTTGTTGAGGTCTGTTAGTCAGGGTTGGTTAGAGTTGCTTGCTGTGAGGTCATTGGGCCGAAGAAAGATTTTTGTTTAAACCTATAAACGTGTGAACTGGGTTGAGAGTGCTGTTTGGCTCTTCATTGCTAGTTCATCATATAAATTACAATTTTATTCTATTAGAAACAGGGCGAAGCATGCCTATTGCACGAGGCTGTGAAGAAGGTTGTAGTACTAGAAAGTGATATTATACGCACTCTAGGTGATGGTGAGCTTACTTTATGAGAAACCTTCATTATTGTTGCGCTGATAGTGAGCTTACGTTCATGAGTAACCTTCATTATTGTTGCACTGATAGTGAGCTTACGTTCATGAGTAACCTTCATTATTGTGGTGCTGATAGTGAGCTTACGTTCATGAGTAACCTTCATTATTGTTGCACTGATAGTGAGCTTACGTTCATAAGCAGCCATCATTATTTGGTACAAATATTTTGTTGTCCATTATCTTCTTCAATAAACAGTAGAATGTTCACAAGGGTGTGTATTTTACTTAAATTAGTAAGTTATACGTTCTCGGAGGGAGCCTCAAAAGGAGCCTTCGTAGGTGAGGCAGACTGCAGTTGCACTGGATTATTCTCAGCTTTTTTTGCAACAGTCCTATCATATTCACTTCTCTTTGTTCTCTTGTAAAATTTAAAAAATGTGCTCCATGCATGTGCCTTTTATTTCATTATTGTTCCGGAATTTTTTATTGATTATTTGTATTAATTGTTAAGTTATTTATGCCAAATTTGTTAGTATGTGTTCAGCTTGCGACGTTACCCTGTTGAGATGGAGAGCGAGAGAGCAGAGTTTCAGTGTCTATAGCTAATTAGTTCTTTCATCTTGCTTTAAAAACATTACAAAATTTTGTTGCTGTACGCAGTAAACCTAAAATAACTCATTAGCACACATTAATAACTTTTTATAATGTACGCACTTTCAATTTTTATTGCTTAACAATTATTCTCACTGCAATATAAAATTTCAATCAATATCAAAACTATTAATTTCAGTAATAACTTGCTACGTTCATGAGATCCCGTTCACGTTACATTTATCTTTGGGATATAAATTCTAAAAAAGCATTTTATATCGTAATTAATATAAAAATTTATCCTGCATAGTTATTCATGTCATATTGCAAAATCTTTTCCAAACTCATAACACGTGGACTCGTAGTCACTCCATGACTCTTCAAAGATATCAAAAGCAGTCTAATTCTATACTAAAGTGACGCGTCAGGGTAACGTAGCAAGCGACTGATCACATTGCAAAGAACTGACCGTAGCTCTTCTCTCTTGCTCTCTTCACAGGCACGTGACGAAACTAAGATTTGCTCCTCCCCAACCTACCGACGCCCTGCGACTCATTTCCCCTCGCATCTCCTCAACGCGTCACCTAGGAACTTACGCAATGTGGCCGGTTCCCCTCGGTTGTTGGGGAACTCCCCTTCGTATCTTCGTCTGGGCAGCGCTTCGTCCCCTCGTCGTAGCCTCGTCCCGATGTCCCCATCTTCTGCTGCCGTCGCGTCCATCTTGGCGTCACCGTATCGCGTGCCTGCGCATAATTATTGCATCGATGACGACTTCCCGTTTGGCTCGTCTCCTGCGAACAGCCCGAGAAGAAACTCTAAGGAAAGGACGCCAAATAGAACTAACGCGGCTGCTGTAAGCGAAATTTTGACGAGTGGATACAAGAAATCTCATGACCGAATGCAAGACGCGACACTCGAGCCACAAAATGACGCAGAAAAGTTGTTGCTTCCCTCGGTTTCCGATGATGCAAGCGAAAACTTGCAGAATTGCGTGCGATTCATCACATTGGCTGATGAGGTGAGCGGTACGAAGCAAGTGCTGGTACAGAGCGAGGATGGTATATTGCGAACCATTGACACAGAAGACGACCAAGCAGCTGCTTTACTGGCGACCAGTGGCGACGAGTTAATGACTACGGACGAAAGCGACGTTATCCTGGCAACAGAGAACGGAGACAACCTCTTAGGGCCTTCGGAAGACGATGATAATGAGGATGATCTACTGGCAACTAACGCGAGCGACGCAACGCAGGTGGTGGTCGGCCAAGACGGGACGGTTTATGCCATCAACGGCCTCGATGAACACGACGATTTCGACCCGAGTCTCATCTTGCAAGACTCGCAGTACGAAGTCGAGCTCGCTCAGACCAAGTCTGTGGAAATGACGCATCAAACCTACATCGACGAGGCTGGTGTCGAGCGAAGCAAGATCTGCTTCATGGTTACTACCGGCATCGTGGCCCCTTATCGACTACGAGAGCCTGAGACCCGCAATTACGAACTACTTTGTCAGCAACTGGGCATCGTCCTGGGCTCGCCTCGTCAAGAACCCTCAGATATTCCCAAGAAGAAAACGGTGCACGTCGACGAATCCTGCCTCGACTATGGAGGAAGTGTTTTCCACTCACAGGAGTTAGGAGAGTCGCTGGATGTTGATTGTAAGGAGCCTTTACCTGAGGTTGAAATCGACAAAACTCTGAAGAAAGTTTTGGTGCCGCTCGAGAATAATGGATTTATGAGAGTGTACGGGCGCCGTACTTCCGTTGACGAGAAAATTGTTAAAAGATTTCCCATTCCCAACTACGACCTCTGCCGGGCCCTGGCGCCGCCTTTGCTGAAACATCTCATCATGAATGTCGGGATAAACGTTCTTATTTTTGGGACCAAGTTCTTCATGGCGACCGTTGACTTGGTTGTGGTCGAGAACGAGCTGAAGATTGACTTGGGTTTGTCCGAGCCTGAGCAGCACATCTCTGAGATGCGCGAGTTGAGCTACAACTTCGTTGAGATTCTGGGATGGGAGTCGCCGGAGCTTTATAAGGCCAAGATGCGCACTATGGCCATCATAGATAAGAACCCACTGAACCTGCACCAGTGTAGCTCGTGCAAGAAAAGCTACAAGACGACCACGACTCTCGTGTCGCACATGGCCAAGTGCCGGATCAGGGCGGAGGGCATAAGCCATCCTGCAGACGATGACGCTGGCAGTGCAGAAGATGAGGAGACTCGCATCTACACATGTCGGTACTGTGACCAAATGTGCTACTCAATGGCTGCTCTCAACCTGCACATCATGGAACAACACCCACGAGCTATTGAGGAGAAGATCCAGATCAAAGTGAACGTCCAGGATGGTATGACGCGTTGTTTTGTCTGTAATGGCGAATTCAACTCTACCAGCTTACCTGGGCATCTCATTGAGAAGCATTTCATCAAGATTGTCAAGGGAGATGTTCTGAAGTGCCTTGAGTGTGACGTCTTCTGCAAGAATGCTGTCGCTATGATGGCGCACAAACCCTGCCACCAAAACAAGGATTCCATCACCGCTGGCAAACGCGAAGAGCTTCCTCAGAAACCTCAAGTCACCACAAATAAGAGTTCGTCTCCCACTAAGCCTCGTTATAAATGCAGGAAACCTAAAGACGCTTCTCATCGTTGTGGCATTTGTGACGCGCTCTTTGCTAGTCGCCGGCAGATTGTGCAGCATCTTATCACGCACACAAACCTCAGGCCTTTTAAATGCACCTTGTGTGGTGAAAATTTCACATTCCGACGCACCCTTATTCGCCATTGTAACGAGAGCCACCCCGAGGTGTGCACGCAACCCTGCAAGTTCTGCGGACTGCCCTTCGAGACCGTCTCGGAACTTAAACGGCACTCGTGCAATGCTAGTCAAAAGGGCGGTTTCCCCTGTCCCTACTGTGACTTCGAGACCAATATGGACATCAGGTTATTTGTACACATACATTCGCATGGACGTGGCACGCGCTATTTTTGTGTATATTGCAGTAATTTCTTCCCAACCGTTAATAAGGTCCGTTATCACCAACGCAGCTTCCATCCAATTGAAGCTAGAAAACAAGAAGCCAACAAACGACGCATCAAAAAATTGGAGTTTGAGATGGGCAAGTCTGAAGTTGACCAGCCTCTCAAGGACGAAGACATCGTCGTTGTTCGTATTAACGACGAGTTTGTGTACACTGTTGATCCTCGTCTCGGCAAGCCTGTAGAGAAAGACAAGTCCGTGTCTTGTTATTATTGCTTTATTCGCTTCTCGACGAAGAACGCCATGAGACGCCACATTCAAGTACAGCATCCTGACAAACCTCTGTATAAGTGCACGGAATGTGTCATTGTCTTCAAAAACAATGCCGAGTATTTAACGCACCGTAAACGCTACCATAAACCACGGTTACTGGTATCCCAACCAGCGTCGCCTTCTGTAAACCTCTCTACAGATCTCATCCACATGGAAGAACAAGTTGAATCGTGTAAACAAAAGCTTGCTGACATCGGTTCAGAGATGATCAAACTTGAATCTCTTAACTCGGCTTTCAAATGCGACTTTTGTATGCAGGGCTTCAAGTCAGAGTTGTTGCTAGAGCTTCACATGGAAGAGGTACACAGTGATTCAGCGATGTTTGGCGATAATAGTAAAGCACATGCACGCAAATTAATACATCTTGTATACTACGTTTGTTCATACGATAATAACTGCCAGCAAAGATTCGACGATAAGCTCTTGATGCAGCAACATTTAAGTAACGCACATCAGGTGTTCGAGGCGTTCGAACAGAATTACCGGGAAGAAGTTATTGCCGCTCCCAACAGACTAGGTCGTAAACCAAAGAACTTCGTTAATTTAGATACCGTAAAAAATGAGCGAAACAATTCCGCTAAGAACTCCAAGAAGAAAGTGGCCAGCAGCACAAACAAACGTTACATCAAATGTGATAAATGTTCAGGAACTTTCTCGAGCGCGACGTCTTTGCGTCAGCACAAACTCGGTACAACTGGCCGTGGTTGTACTGGAGCAAGAAAAAACACCAGGAAATACAGAAGAAAAGCAGATTCTTCACCTTCCATCAGCATCCACACGAACACAAGTGACAACAATAACGTCGAGGTTTCCAGCACCGAAGCTGAGTATCGCGAACTCTTCATCAAAGAGAACGAAATTAATGCGTTCAAGGAGGATGTTCCTCCGGCTCAGACAAATGACTTCATGGCGCTGGAGTTTGTCAAGACTGAAGTGCTTGACGATGACCCTGATGTTGGGTCCTTGCTTGCCGAGATCCAGGATATTAAGAAGGAGATTGAACTAAACGAAAACTGCGACGTGGTCTCGAGTGTGGTGAAGGTGGGTGCTTGCGACACCCAACCTCTGGGTGTCGTCGCCCCCTTATCTCCCCTCGCTGGCTCACCCCCAAGGGAATATCGTCCTGCACATGATACTCACGTTACCGGAAAGAAAGGAAAGCTGTTACTGAACGTTAAAGGCCTCGCCTCACAAATTGGCCGCCCCAAGAAACGCTCGAAGTTGACCTCGAACGACTTCTCTCTGAAAACCTCAATAGAGTCTAAGCAAAGACCCTTGCTCTCAGACGATGAATTTTTTGATTTCAGTCCCAGAAAAGTTTCTCATAGCACGGAAATACTGAAAGAAACTTCCGTGCGGCATCAAAATCATAGCAGCATTGACACGGAAACATTATTGGAGGCCGAGAATATCCCTACAGCGAAGAAATCTTTACCAAATAAACTTAAGAACCCCGCGGCAATCCGCAAACGCAAGCTTGACGAGAACGCCGATGACCCAGAGTGGAACCCTAAGGGGAAAACTAAGAAGCGGGCCTTCGCATGCAGTGCTTGCAGCGACAAGTTCAATACCAAAGCTGAACTCAAATTCCACTCTAGATATGATCATTAAATAAACGGATTATTAAATTTACTAGAGAGAGTATTAGGTGTCCGAGATTGTAGTTATGATTGCCATTGTTGCGATTCTTAGCAACAAACTTTTCTATCCTGAAAGAAAGGTTGTGGCCAGCAACGGGCTTTATTTTTTCAAGAAGTTGGTGCTAACTCAAGCCTATGCTCCGCAGTGGTATTGGTTTCTAGTAACAGTTATTAGGAGGATAAAACTTATTTATTTCGTGTCACGTTCCTCGCCTCTTACTTTTCCATGCCGCGCTTCATACCTTTCATACCTCGCCTTTTACTTAGCATGCCTCTGCCCGTCTTTTTCTAACCTGCCACGTCCTTTTAATTTCACGCGACGCCTCATGTCTCTCCGTTCGCTGGCATAGACTTATATGTTCCACTTCTTACTATGTCCTATATTGTATAATATATTTCTTCCAGGTTCAACTTATCCAATATCTGCACGCTAATGCCTTATGCATGCATCTCTACTCATTTGTCGTGTTGCGTATATGCCATGTTGCGCTGTTCAATTTATTTCGTTTTCTTCATCCCTTGTTTCCCCGCTCTATTTTTTCTCGGTTTTGCTTCATCTTCTCGTCCAACTGCTCTATCTCCTCGCTTTCCCCTCTCTTTCTCCTCTCTTTCTCCTCTCTTTCTCCTCTCTTTCTCCTCTCTTTCTCTAGCTGAGGCGCGTATCTCTCCTCATATCTGGTATCTCAGGCGCGCTGCGAACCTTACTTAACCTAACTGGACCTAACTTAACCCAACTTGTAACATGTTTATATAGTACAACATATTGCTGCAGAAGGAGTTATAGGTGAACAATGTACCTGATATTCAATAGTTAACTTGTAAGCTCGTTAGCTCCGCTCTATTAAACCGTCTTTACCACTCCGGTCTTTGATTTCTCCGCTCCAGCGAGTGCATGAAATTCTTGTAAAATCCCATCTGTGGTTAATAAAGCTTAAATCTTGCAAAAATCTTGAGGATTAAGCATTTTTACAGTTTATTTTCATGAGAAACCTGTAATGTTTTGGATAAAGAAGGAAGATAATTTTCGGTATGTAAATAATTAAATTTCAGTGAAGCGCGCATTTTTTCTATTTTGAACAAATCTTGTGATGTGTATCGAAATTCATGGCTTGCTGAATAAATTAAATTTCCTTTCTACCAAATAATTGTAACAAGAAATTTAAAAGCGAAGAAAACACCACAAAAATTTAGCATATCTCTTTTGAAAACGTTTCGGAGACCAGCTCCATCGTCAGTTCGATAAATCTAGAACACAGATAAATGCAGAAAATTAGTTTGGAGTTAATAAAAAAAACACAAGCAGAAGTTAAAAACCTAAATTTATATATATTTTAGATATGCTAAAATTTTGTGGTGTTTTCTTCGCTTTTAAATTTCCAGTGAATCTGCGATTAAAGCAGTCTAGTGACTTTTTTACTTATAATTGTAACAAATATGGAAATGTTTCAAATCTCGATATATACTGCAATTCTGCTCTTTAATACTGGAATAGTGGAGATCAAGCCGCAAGAGTTGTACGTGAGATCTTTCATTCACCCTAGATTTCAATTTAGAGATGTCTTTTTGTGAAGGGCGAGTTGCCTGTTTAATCAACACTTATCAGCCACTATGAGATGTTGCTTTTCTGTGCACCTCTTATATGAATAATAGTTAAGTAAGACCTGAGGGTTGGTTCATTTGTAGCATGATCCGAGGATATTGAGGAACAGCGGTATTATTCTTGATGATTATATTCGGCTTACAATAAAAGATTATAGTGATACAAGATTATATGTTGTAGCTTTAACACTGATATCATCTGGTGTCTCGCTCACTGATGCTTTCTGACATACGACCAAGATGAAATTATGCGAGTTTGTTTCAGGGAATATGGTTATTTTGTGCAGAGCGGTAACAATCTCTAGCATGTTGAATATATTATACATACAATAACGCGGTAGCGGCCAATCAAGTGCGTAACTACAATGACCTAAGCGTACCTTTCTCTCTGCTCCCCTCACTAAGCCCTGCGCCTCTGCTTCATTAGGGACGGCACAATAATAATTATAATAACAACAACCAGTCCCCCATGCCTCATTAGGGGCGGCACAATAAAAATAATGATTATAATAACAACAACCAGTCCCCCATGCTTCATTAGGGGCGGCACCATAAAAATAATGATTATAATAACAGCAACAAGTCCCCCATGCCTCAGTGCGACGCCGGCCAGCGGACGGTGCGGGTGTCGGTGCAGGCGGGCGCGGCGTGCGTGGGGCTGGCGGTTGCCATCCACCGCGGCTACCCCAACGCCCGACGCCTGCAGTTGAGCCTCCTGCCCTGCACCTCCCTCGATGCCTTCGACAGGATGAACATCCTAGGGGTGAGCTGCTGCACCTAGTGCTTGTCTAGGTGGGGTGATATGTACTAGGTGTGTTGATATGTACTAGGAGTCTAGGTGTGTTGATATGTACTAGGTGTGGTGATAACCGTGATATCTACTAAGTGTGTTCCAGATGTGTAGGTGTGATCTAGGTGTCTCATAGTTGTCTTGCAAATGAGTACCTAGGTGTGTTGCATGTGTAGATGATAATATATAAAATCATTCAAGTTAACAATTGTTCTTGACATCTAGAATTGTGCCTGTCTGATGTTAGACCAGACCTCGTCAGATGGTATCTATTATCTAGAAATATGTCTTGTGTTGAACTGTGTTTGCAGATGAAAACCAGAATATTCCACTCATTTCTTCATTGCTGGTAGATCTTGTTGAAATATTTTGAGCGCGAGCGCCTGTGTTGATTAAGCATTAGTGGTCAACAAGTCTAATCGTCGTCAGGCGTCTCATNTAATCATCGCCTGTTTAAGGCGCTGATAATCATCAGTAAGGCGCTAATCATCACCTGTTCAAGGCGCTAATAATCATCAATAAGGCGCTAATCACCACTAGTAAGGCGCTAATGATCGCCTGTTTAAGGCGCTGAACGCCGTGGCGCAGGAGAGCGCCCGTAAGGAGCACAGCTGCCTCATCGCCCTCGTCTCTACCCTCATCGTCCGCTTCACGTCGCTGCTGGTCTGTCCCAGCGGCCCTTGTTCTTTCCATGGTTGAACTAGTATAAGGTTGACCCATGGTTGAACTAGTATAAGGTTGAACTAGTATAAGGTTGACCTATCAGAAGCCCATTATTGCAAATGTAGTTCGTTGTTCGCCTGTGACGTCACTGATCTCAGTGACGTCACGGGCATTAACCAATCACCGAAATGCGATCAAACCAGTCAACCAATCCGTCATGGGAATGACGGGATTGTTTACGTTTCTCGATCTCAGTGACGTCACGGGCATTAACCAATCACCGAAATGCGATCAAACCAGTCAACCAATCCGTCATGGTAATGACGGGTTTATGTTTCTCGATCTACGTGACGTAACGAGAAAGCTGAACTGAAAGACGGTGGGTCAACCTTATATAGTTCAACCATGGTTCTTTCCTCGTCCTGTACGTCTGTCCCATGTTTATTTGTGATTATTCATGCAGAGAACAGGTATATTTAGCAAAGATATATACGTTTCCTTGACCCGTCAATTATTATCTTTAAATGAGATACATATTATCATATGTTTAATTTATAAATTGTACATAACTTTTATAAATTACATTGCCCTCTTGATTCAATCTGCATCCTGAAAGAACTTCTGCCGTTGGTCCCCCCTCCAGAAGCTCTCGGCAGGAGCGGCGTCTGCCGAGGTCTTAAGCCCCTCTTGCGAGGCGCCTTATGGCGACGCCCTCAACATCAGCGGCAACAACAATAGTGGCAACAGCAGCTGCTATGGAGGAGACAACAGCTGTTATGCTGGCGACAACAGCTGTTATGCAGGAGACAACAACTGTTATGGAGGCGACAACAGCTGCTATGGAGGCGACAAAGACCATTCGGTTCCGTTCCCGCGGACCTCAGGCGCCCGCTTCTGTGGGAATGGTGGGTGATGGGAGCAATATTTGAAACCACCATGTTTAGTGTCTGTATTTATCCATTTATTTATTCTACCAAGACATTAACGTGATGTATTTATCCATTTATTTATTCTACGAAGACATTAACGTCCCAGTGAAAATTTACAGACGCGTCAGCTTCTGATTTGGATTACCAGAAGCTGGGGCAACTCTAAAGTTTGTTAGGGGTTATGTCTGTTGTATCAGATCTTAACAGGCACGTTACGTATTGAGGAAATCGTGAAAAGTTTATAAGTGAGCTCAAAAAAAGACACAAGAAGATAAAAACGAACATTTAAACAGACGAAAGGCATTCTACGTGGCATTTAGGACACGACTAAACACCGGCACCGAAGGAGCCGATGTAGCAGAGCGCCAAAACAAGCGGTGGTGACATTGGCTATGTGATTGTTCATAAAAAGTTCCGAGTCTACGTGAATGCCGTGATTGCAAACTGCGGACGTAGGCATGACGAACTCGTTACTTACGCGAACAGGGTTGGCCGGCAGCTGATGCTGGCGCCGAGCAGTCGCAAACCAAATAAAGTCGGTTTTTGATGCATTGAGCTGGAGCCGGTTGGAGCGCATCCAGTCTGAGACAGCGTCCATGCAGACAGACATCCGATCCTGCAACGCTGCAGCGCACAGTAGCCATAAATTTGGGTGTCGTCGGCAAAAATATGCGGATTGCGGATTCATACCACGTAAATCAATTATGTGCAACACGTCGACAGTATATAACAGAAAGAGGATCGGACTGAGGACTGATCCCTGTGGTACGCCGCAGGTAACCAACGATGTCATATATAGAAGAGTACCTGCGTCGAACGTATTGGAATCTATTGCAGAGGTAGGAATCTAACCAGCAAAGCACTGTGCCACGCAGGCCGAACGATACGTTTATCGTTCGGCCTGCGTGGCACGCAATTATAGGTAACGTGGTTGACGTGTCGATTGGGGCCGACAGTGCGAGTAAAACCATTACTGCAATGTTGCTTGCTTGTACATTATATAGTCTATTACCCCAGCCAAGAGTCAGGCTGACACAGTCGAGACGACTGCAATTTCCCTCTCATGTTACCTTTGAGTAGACCGCTCTTCGAAAAACTATAAAAAAATACGATAGACGATGGCAGGGACGCGCGTCAACGAAGCGAAGGCGTCTTTAACACAAAATAACTCATTTTGACACTATGCTGCTGTGGCATGATAGTGTCATGCTGCTGTGGCATGATAGTGGCATGCTGGTGTAGTATCATGGGGGTGTCATGCTGCTGTGGCTGTCGTATTGTCAAACATGCAGGTTTGACAATATGTTGGTCATGCTGATGTGTCATACTGCTAGGGCAAGCATGCTGGTGTATTATGACGGTATCGTGCTGGTGTAGCATGATGTTGGCCATTCTGGTGTGTGGCATAATGGTGATATGCTGACGTGCAGAGCGTGAGTCTTGCTGCTGTGGCATGATAGTGTCATGCTGCTGTGGCATGATAGTGTCATGCTGGTGTGTGGCATGATGGTGATATGCTGCTGTGGCAGGATAGTGTCATGCTACTGGTGTATTATCATGGTGGTATCATGCTGGTGTGGCATTTGTGAGTATCATGATTGTATCATGCGGCTTCTGCATGCTGA